TGTGATTTGAAGGTCCCGGATGGTCCGTAGAAAAATATAGGACCTGGGCGTATACCCGGAATTAAATTCTGAGGTCCCTGGCCCGAGTAATGAATTTTTGTTAGAAATTATTGAACTGAAATTCTAAGGATTTAAAGAAACTAATTAATGATTAATTCTAAGGGTATCAGGCTCGTATGTTGGTTCCGGAGCCCGGTATGGGTCTGATATATCATTTAAGACCTGCCAGCAAAATTTGGTATCAATCCGAGTAGTTTTAGGGCGTTTCGGCTCGTTAGAGGAAAATTAAGAACTTGAAGTTCATAAGTTTGATTCATTTGGTTTTAGGAGTGACTCTTAGATTTAGCGTTGTTTCGGGCATTCCGAAGGTTCGAGGAGGTCCGTCTCGTGATTTCAGACTTGTCGGTATGTTCGGGGGGCCCGAGAGCCCCGAACGTCAAACAAACGAGGCTCGAGTGAAGTTGGGAATTTGGAGAAGTGCTGAAGCATTTGCTTTTGTCATAACAGCACCTGCGGTTGGTCGACCGTAGGTGCGAGACCGCAGAACCGGCCGTAGCCTCGCAGATGCAGACCAGAGCTGGCCAGGCCAAACCACAGAAGCGGCTACGCAGATGCGGCTTCAAGACTGCAGAAGCGGTCCTAGCCCTTTTAGCCAATTACGCACATGCGGTCTCCTCTCGCAAATGCGGGACCGTAGATGTTGTCCCCTGACCGCAGATGCGGAAACTGCTGAAGTAGTGAACTTCATTTAAGTCGACCTCCAGCCATTTTTTACCATTTGGCACACGGGTATTGAGTGATTTTGGAGCTATTGAGAGGGAATTTCCACAGAGCATCGTGACGTAAGTTCATCCCCCTTATTTCTAAGTTTAACACTCGAGTTTTGGGTAGATTAACTCGTAAAGATTTGGAGAAATCAAGAGGTTAGGGCTAGACCTAGGGTTTTAATAAAACTTAGATTTTACCACAAAATTGGTTATGAAATGAATTAGAAATCATATATTATTGATCCTTAGGTTATAGAGAACAACTTCCTTCGAAAAATTTTGGAATTCGGGCACGTGAGCCCGGGGTCGGGTTTTAGGAAACTTGTGGTAAGGGATAGGGAAATTGCTTAAATAGTTGGAATACAATTTTGCGATCTTATATTGATTAGTTCCTACCTCATTTAACTAGTTTTGGATCATTTGGCTCCGAATTGAGGGTTGAACTCGTTCTTGGTATTGGAAGTGCGTTTTGGAGCGAGGTGAGTCTCCTTTCTAACCTTGTAAGAGAGAATTGTCCTCATAGGTGTAATAATTGAGTAATTTGCTCCTAAATGCGGGGGCTACGTACACACTAGGTGAAGAGAGTCCGGACGTAGCTACTATCATGTTAATTGTCCGGGTAGTCTAGGACCCGTATCATGCTATGTTTGTGAATGTCTCTATATTTTCTTGCTAATGTGATCACTTAGGATATGCTAGAGATTTGGAAAGGAATACAAGTGAATGTATACACTTGTTGGACACTTGTACGATTTTACTTGGAAATAAATGCGCATTCATGTATTTCTTGATATAAATTGTGGATCGGGCCGATCGCCTTAGTAGAAATAGATGCATCTATGGTTCGCGCCATTCGACCCTCTGGCAGTGTACAATTTATTTTCTGTTGAATCGGGCCGTCGACTCCGGCATAATGTGCTTGACCGACTAAATATTTGAAATGTAAATGACTAATTGTAAAATTGTTAAGAACGTGACTTATTACCTCTTGCTGCAAACTGTTGATTATTTGCGACTCCCTTGTTTAGCTTAACACTTCATTATATTATTTGTCCTTAGTAAGTATCAAGTCGACCTCTCGTCTCTACTTCTTCGAGATTAGCCGAGACACTTACGGGGTACATATTATTTATGTACTCATACTACACTTCTGTACTTAATTGTACAGGATCTGAGGCAGGTACATTTGGTTATCAGTCTGGTGCGCGCCCCTGATTCATAGTCCGAAACTTCCACGGTGAGCTGCCCCTTCCTGTGCCGTTCAGCAGCTTGATGGGGTCTCTCTTTATTTATTTTTGTTGTCTACTCTATTTCGGACAGTAAGATGGATTTATTCTTTTGTATATTCTACTAGTTGCCCACAACTTGTGACACCAGGTCTTGGCACTCACATTAATAGACGTTTCTTTTGGGTTGTATAATTATTATCGAATGTTGCATATTATCATATGTTTTTAATTGCAAATTAAAAAATTTTGTAACTGTTTTGGGTAAGTAAAATAAGAATTTACTAATACTTTCGCGCTGGCTTGTCTGACAACGATGTTGGGCACCATCACGATTTATTATAAAAATGGATCGTGACAAATACTAGTAGTGAATTAATTTAAACTCATACCTAATACTCTAGTTCTGCGCGCTTGCCAATCAAATAATAAGGTGGTATTTAGGCATGTGGAGACATTTCCCGAAAGCTCAATCGATTGGACTGAGAAGTAAGTAGACAAAAAGAAATGTAACTGTGACTCTACGAGTATGCAGTGTGTTGGTAAAAAACATTTTCTGGAAGAAACTGTCTTATCACCCAACACCCTCTAAAACTTAGAAACTATTTCAAAATGCCAACAGACAAAAAAATTAAAAAAATAAGCCCAGAAATTTGCTTTTTCCCTTTTAATGAAAAATATTTTTTCTCCCTACCAAATACACCCCATAAGGATTCTCCCAACAGAGTAAATTGTGGACTTGTCCACAGCATAAGGTTTTTACTGAGTTTGTCACCTAAAATTAGCGAACATTTTAAGTCACGAATTTCTCCTACTTATAAAAAGGATGTCCAAGTATAACAGATATTAGATAAAAGATAAGGTTTGCAAACAACAAAGTCTAATATCCATGAAGAAGACCCCAACAAAACACGAGGGGATTATATTTTCAACCTTATAATTTTACTTCACAATAACCAATGATGACATTTATGGCACTTTGGTGGCTTAGCTAATATTTTCCAAATTGACTAATGATAGAGGCTAGAGGTGTCAAATGCATGGGTTAAACCGATTTTAAGCGGGTTAAAATAGATTGAGTTAATAAATAGGCAGGGTCAAATGACCCACCAAAAAATTACTTGGGTTGAGATGTGTTTGATCAATATGAGCTAAAATTTATGTCATAGTCCAACCCGCCCAACTCTTATCAAGCTTTAATTAATATGTGTTATTTTCTTATGAATTGTATAATTACTAAATAAGACTTTTTTCCTTTTGTTATGGTCATATATAATCAAACCAAAAAAAATGTAAGATATTTTGGCAAAGTTACTCATGCGTCAATTTGGACAAAAAATCAACCCAACTTTAAATGAGTTGAGATGAATTGGTCAAGATGGACTGAATTTAATAAATAAGTGGGTCAATAACCAATCCAACTTTAAACGAGTTGTGCGAATCATTTGGACTTGGGCCAAATTTGACCGCCCTATAGAAGCCTTATTTAAGGAGCATTTTAATTATTTGCAAGTGAGTAAGTGAATCTTTAAAGATGTTCTTCCACTTCTGGATCCTATTCATTTTCTTTATTTGTATTTTCTGTTGTTTCATGGGTAAAAAAGCATGTACTTTCGAAGACACGCATCTAAAATAAGAGAAAGTAGCTTGAAATGATTTAATAAGTATGCCATTCTGATTAAATGTGCTAAATAGGGACGAGAGACGTAAACAACATAGAAAAATTATCTCAAAAGACCAACAATACGTATGAATCAATTTAACTAAGGATAGAAATCTATAGGGACAAAAGATCCATATAAACTTATTGAAATTAAAGTGTAGCTATTGTTGTTTTGAGATTTGTCAAGAATTCCTTTAATTTTATTAGTTAGAGACCTATATGTAAGCAAAAGTGTGAAATTTAAAAGACTTGCTTTTTGCAGAACTTTTAATTTGGAATTCATATAGTTATCCTAATTAGTTTTGGATTGAAGTGCAATTAATTAGCTAAATGAATATTCGAAGAACACCATATAAGTGGCAGCCAACACCATATAAGTTGCAGCCAAATGAACACAAAATGTCTCCAACATATCATAGTGGAGTGCACAAATTCTACCATTTATTTAGCAAAAATAAAAGATTATCGGAAGCAGAGGCAACTTAACAGGTTAACACTTAAATGACCACATGACCCCTAGAAGTCTAGAATATAAGTATTATGTGTATGGATCTTATAGACACAATCAATATTATTGTTAAGAAACATTATTTATGTTATAAATCGTGAGACGCGTGTACTTAACTACTTATTATTGTTGTTAATATTATTAACTTGTTTTTAATAATTTCGTTATATAAGTTGCATGATTTTAGTATAGCATAATATATTAACAACGCATATTGGTGATAAATTAGGAAAAATAAGATGTTTTAAAATTATTTTATGAGTAATTTTTGACAAAATCAATATTTACAACAATTAAAGATATTTTAATGAGCTTATCAGTTATCATACAATACGATTATATGGTCAAACCAAACAATAAAAGTACTATTAAATCACAACAAACAATACAATCTATCTAATTATTGTATTCATAGAATATTATAGTTCAATAGAATACATATAAAATGATATGCAATTAGACTCTAGAAACACCAATCCGAAACAAAGTCTAAGTGATTAATGATATATACACTACAATGGAATGATGTTAATAACAAGGAATTTTTACAGAAATAACCAGCCAAATTCATTGTTTGTTTTTTCTAATCGATATACATAAATTATAAATTGATTATATATATATATATATTAATTATGAATTATTTCATATATTATATATTTATTGACGATTTTAATTTAAGTGATTGGATGAACTGCTATTTGGTCAATTCTTAAAAGGAAATTTTGCAAAAAAATAGATCCAATGGGTTTAAGCCCCAAAAATGGATCAAAGTCCGGCCCATATTTTAACCCTTCTGCTCCTCTGTGCTACTTATATTCATACACGGACGAAAACCTAGCTCCCTGCAAAGGCGTCACTCTGTTCATCTACTCTTAAAAAACCCTAGCAGCCATTCCCCTTCCCCTTAACCCCCGCCATTACCAATGGCAACAGCTGCCGCCATTCCCACCACCACCGTTCAATCCTTCGAAAATGACATGGCCACTGACGGCGCCGTTCCTCTACCCGCCGTCATGAAAGCTCCGATCCGACCCGACGTCGTAACCTACGTCCACTCGAACATTTCCAAAAATGCCCGTCAACCTTACGCCGTTTCCAAAAAAGCTGGTCATCAAACCTCCGCTGAGTCATGGGGTACTGGACGTGCTGTTTCACGTATCCCTCGTGTCGCCGGTGGCGGAACCCACCGTGCTGGGCAAGCTGCTTTTGGTAACATGTGTCGTGGTGGTCGCATGTTCGCTCCGACCAAAATCTGGCGCCGTTGGCACCGTAAGATCCCCGTTAACCAAAAGCGTTACGCTGTTGCTTCAGCTATTGCTGCGTCTGCTGTTCCTTCGCTTGTCCTTGCGCGTGGTCATCGTATTGAATCAGTTCCTGAGCTCCCTCTTGTTGTTTCGGATTCAGTTGAGAGCATTGAAAAGACTTCTAATGCTGTCAAAGCTTTAAAACAAATTGGTGCTTATCCTGATGCTGAGAAAGCTAAGGACAGTCACGCGATTCGTCCAGGTAAAGGTAAAATGCGTAACCGTAGGTACATTTCCCGTAAAGGTCCACTGATTGTGTACGGAACCGAAGGTGCTAAGCTAGTGAAAGCCTTCCGTAATATCCCTGGAGTCGAAATTTGCCATGTCGATCGACTGAATTTACTGAAGCTTGCTCCTGGAGGTCATTTGGGAAGGTTTATTGTGTGGACTAAATCAGCTTATGAGAAATTGGATGAGATTTATGGTTCCTTTGATAAGGCGTCTGAGAAGAAGAAGGGATACGTGTTGCCCAGGCCTAAAATGGTGAATGCTGATCTGGCTAGGATTATTAATTCTGATGAGGTGCAGTCCGTTGTGAGGCCAATCAAGAAGGATGTTAACAAGAGGGCGACATTGAAGAAGAACCCACTTAAGAACCTGAATGTGCTGCTGAAGCTTAACCCGTATGCAAAGACTGCAAGGAGAATGTCTCTTTTGGCTGAGGCTCAACGTGTTAAGGCTAAGAAAGAGAAGCTTGACAAGAAGAGGCATCAAGTCACTAAGGTATATTCTTCTAAAATTTTGTTTATAGCAGTAGACACATATCCTGAGATTTTGTGTAGTTTTATAACATTGGCCTGAAATAAGCTTATATTAGATAACATTATCAATGATGATTCATATAACCATCCCCAATTTGTTTGAGACTGAGGATTAGCTCTTGTTGTTAGTTTAACTTCATGTTTTAGTCACTAGTTAAATCACCATCCCCAATTTGTTTGAGACTGAGGATTAGCTCTGGTTGTTAGTTTAACTTCATGTTTTAGTTCACTAGTTAAATCTCTTTAGTGATGGTATAAGAAAGAAGTTGCTATTTTATTTACATAAACATGTTAATGATTGTCTTTAAGCTAAAAGTTGATTTAATTTTAGCAGATCTCGTTGAATAGAATGTACTTATGCATGCACAGTTTTCTTCGATGATCTGGTGTCCTAGTTTGTTTAGATTGTTTGCTCAGAGATGATTCTGTTGTTTGTTTTCTGTTTGTCAGTATAATTTGTTGATTCTGCTTTACAGAGGACATTCAGTTTGTCTTTTGTGCACTTTGCGTTGCTATTAGTACTCATTTATAGAAACTTTTGTGGTTTGTTCTTGCAGTTGCTCTAATTTATTATCAGTTCTTTAATGACATTCTGATTGCTTTCATTGATTGTTCTGTGATTCCCTCTTGAATAACTAAATGTATGTTTACCCCTGATAAGAGGAAGCTAATAAGTTTTGGTAAGGAACTGGGATGTGTAGAGATGGGTTGTTGTGATATTATGTTAGCTCCCAAATTTAATTTAACACCTGACATGTAGATTGTGGCGTGTTATTTTTATGTTCTAAAAATTTTAGCATCTTCTTCTACTTCTAGGGATCTAGTGAGAATACCTATCATCTTCAGTATTATGTTAGTGGAGGCAGAATATAAAATGTCAAATGGACACATCTATTTTGCCATTTGTATTTAGTTTGTTTATGTATTAGACAACTGTTCTTTTTTGCTTTATATTTTCTTGGTTTTGTTTTTGGTAAACAACTTTGAATATCTGGAATTATTTTGAGATTGTTGAAAGTATCACTTACGTAGGACATTCTTTGAGGCTTTTATGCGGGTGAAAATCCTATACTTGCCCTTTTCTCAAAGACAAAATGTGGGTGAAAATTGTAATACTAATACTGACTAGACATACTGCACATAATTTTGAATTAATATTGCTTTTGTTAAAGAAAAACCAGAGCTCTGTTGATATTAAAAAATACTCTGCCAAACTGTGATCCAATAGAGCTAAAGATTGCACTCTTCAGTTTTTCTTATCACTGCCGAATTTGTTTCTCCACAATCAAATTAATATGAATATAGTTTGTAGCATTCAAAATGTTTAGTTGTTTTAATATTAATTTCACCAAAACCCACAACTAAATCCCTAAAGCAAACCATTTTCTAATCCAATCTCAGCCTAGGTGTCCCCCTTGGTTTAATAGCACTTTAATAACGCTGTATTTGGCTGTGAAACCTGAGTTTGGTTATGCATTATGTTACTCAATTTTTCTTCTTTTCTTGTTCCACAGGAGGAGGCATCAGCTATCAGGGCAGCAGGCACATCTTGGTTCAAGACAATGATTTCAGATTCTGACTACACAGAGTTCGAGAACTTCACAAAGTGGCTTGGTGTTACACAGTGAAGGGCTTTTTTGTTTTGAAATCATGTTAGAAACTATTTTGTTTATTTGTTGGTTCAGTCTGATCTTCTACTCAGCTTTGATGGTCCAAACTATGAAAGAGATTAAGTGGGAGGGAAATTACATGCTCAAGTCACCTAAGTTGTTACTTGCACATATATTTCCTGACCACATTTTGTTGTCAAGTTTTGTTTTAGTTGGAGTGTTATTTTTGTCAGATATGGTATTAAGTATTTTATGGAATAGCCTTTGTAATGAATTGCTCTTCGACATCGCATGTCTGATTTATCACTTTGATATGTTCAGCCTCTCATACTTGTGTTCGTTTAAAGTGGTGATTGGACACAAAACGTATCTGGTGTCTGTTGCTTTTGTGCTGTTTAAGGACCAACAGTAACATGACAATTATTAGTGTGGTACCTGGGGTGCTTATGTTTATAGAGCTTAGCTGTAGTTCCATCTATTCTTCCTGGTATACTCACGTATGGCTGCACAAGGATTAGCTGATTTTTCTAGTGTTCACCTAGGTTCTCGGTTGTTGTAGAAAAAAGGCAAAATACTTTAAAACCCCATTAAACTTAACACGGATTATTGCCATTACTCCTGGACTCTAATGTGACAAAGAGTATGGGTGTACACGAAATTGTACACTATTTATTTCTTCTTTTGATGCAATGACTATTTATTTCAACTGTGTATTTTCAATTTTTCAAGTAAAAACTGTAAAAAAAATATATTTTTAGAGCACCATAATTTAGAGCTATATAAAAAATTATTGCCAAAAATAATTAATTTCAAACTATGTATTTTTTATAACTTTTTAGATGCCTTGACTATTTATTTTAATTGTATAAATCTTTATTTTCAGGTCAAATTCAAAAAAAGATTAACTAAAACTTTATTATTTTTAGCCAAATTTTTTTTTTTACCTAAATAATGTAGTTCTATTCACGTTTTATCATAAATTATATTCCAAAAAAAGTTCTTTAAAGAAGTAACATACTTAAAAAGGTAAAAATATATTTTATTTTTCAAAAAAATGCCACATATATAGGAAAAATTCACGTGGCAGGCGAGTGCACCCACACTCTTTGGTACATCAGCGTCCAGGGGGTAATGGCTCTCAAAAGGCCAAATTGAGGGGTAATTAAAACCATAAATAATTTAAGAATATAATTAATAATCTGTGTCAAGTTTAGGGGGTTTTAAGGTATTTTACCTTTTTTTTTAGTTGGAATCAAGGTTGGCTCCTATGGTTAGAGATGCTTATAGGAAAGAAAACTATGGTAATATGACAAGAGGGTAGGTAATACTATTGTTTCTTTTTCAGCCTTAAGTGTATCCACAAAATCAATGAAGAATGATGAAGTGTTCGGACCATAGGTATTTTGTTACACCCCAAGTTTTCATACGTGAGAGTACGTCGTAAGTTATTGATGTAAGCTCGGAAATGAGATTATATTTGGAAGAAAATAAAGTAAGTTAATCATGTTACCTTGGAGGTTACAAATATTTAAGATCATGATTAACGAGTATNAAATATTTAAGATCATGAATAACGAGTACCAAGAGGGTTGGAAATCTTAGAAGCTAAACCAATTGAAGAAAATAAGTTTCATCGAAAGTCGACAAGCTTCGAATGTTATAACATGTACTTTGGGTTATTAACATGATAAGGAGGTTATTCTATGAGTTATATTAGTCGTATGATATTTATTTTCTACATTTTGAAGGCAAGCAAGTTGTGGAACAAGAGTTGGCAAAGGTAATCACAAGTTACATTCATAAATTTGCTGAAATTTAGGTCAAATGTATCTGAGAATTTCTCCAAATATACTTGGAATCATGGGGTGTTCTACCTACCAAATTGAAGGTCTACGAGTCTAGTTTCTAACTCATTAAACCGTTCGTCAATACGACATTGGAGTAGAGAGATATTCGTATTTTTGTGAGACCACGCAAGCAGCTCCCAAGGGGACCCACTTAGGTGGTGGTTGACCTACTTCAATTTATAAACGATTTGGACGCCTATTTTTGCTCATTTTTCAACTAAAATTCGTCTCCAAACTTCTCCTAACCCTCCTAAACATATACCACAAGGGTTTGAAGTGATTCCAAAGTGATTACACCATATTTCAACATCAAAACTTAGTTCTAGTGAAGAACAACACCTCTTTGAGGTTGTGTTGTCATTGAGGATTGTTGTGGGCT